TATATATATATATATATATATATAATATATATATATAACACACACACACACACACACACACACACACACACACACACACACACACACACACACACACACACACAACACACACATATATATATATATATATATATATATAATATATATATATATATATATATATATATATATATATATATATATATATATATATATATATATATATATATATATATATATAAGGGATTATTTTTTCCTGTTCAGATTTCCCTTACCTTTCTATATTCTCTTGTCATATGATATCACATACAAATCAAAGCGAATATAAAAAAGTCAATAAGAATAATAATATTAAAACAGAAATAGTGAACATATTCTCATATATCAATTCAATAATGCATTTGTGATGGACGATTGAAAGGCACTTAAATATAATAAATATTTTTTGTGATTAGACTGAAGTACCGAACAAGGATGGAAAAGAAAAATAAAATTATCGACAGAAAATTTATAATAAAAACAAATTACGAAACAAAATAGAAAGTACACGTGAACTAAAGAAGAAAAATACATAAACAGATAAACGGTTAAAAAGCAGTATTGTAGACAATACAAAGAAAAAGGAAAAGAGAGAGAGAGAGAGAGAGAGAGAGAGAGAGAGAGAGAGAGAGAGAGAGAGAGAGGAGAGAGAGAGAGAGAGAGAGAGAGAGAGAGAGAGGAGAGAGAGAGAGAGAGAGAGAGAGATACAGAGAGAGAGAGATAGAGAGAGAGAGAGAGAGAGAGAGAGAGAGAGAGAGAGAGAGAGAGAGAGAGAGAGAGAGAGAGAGAGAGAGAGAGAGAGAGAGAGAGAGAGAAAGGGAAAGAGACAGAGACAAAGAGGGAGAGAGAGAAAAAGACAGAAAAAAACAGAGAGAAAGAGAAAGACAGGAAGAGAAAGAAGAGAGAGAGAGAGAGAGAGAGAGAGAGAGAGCACGCACAAACATTGTACACATTGTATACGTAGGAATCATGCAATGAATATAACATATCAACTAAAATACCGACAAACATTTCAATATCAAGGAAATATTGCATGTAAGATCAGCTTAATTATAATTTACTACATTTTAAACTAATTCTCGTTAAACTCTTCATTAAAGTTTCATTTTTTAAAATAGAAAAATACTAAAAAAAAAAAAAGAAAAATGCCAATAGAAAATCATGAAGAAATAAACAATAAGTGTAATTCTTTCCTTATGGTTACTTGTGGGTAAAAAAATATTTATTATTATTTTTCTAAATATAAAGATCTTAACAATGTAACTATTACTATTCATTCCCCCAAATTATCATATTATCCATTCCCTCCTTTCATCGATAAAATTCGAGAATTGTCAATATCACTGGTAACATTTCTCTATTCAATAATAATTATCAATTCAATTGTCATTATCACTGGTAATATTTCTCTATTCAATAATAATATATCGCACTTGAGTTAATCAACTTAGTTTGAGGATTTTAACATTAATTCAGGTAATTATGATGATTTCCATGATAATTCCTTTATTATTGACAATGATGAGGATAATTATGATGATATTAATTCCATGTTACATTGGATATTCCTTGCCATGCTGTCACTTTATTTGCTTTAAATCAAATGTATATGCTGTCACTTTATTTTGCTTTAAATCAAATGTTTATGCTGTCACTTTATTTGCTTTCAATCGAATGTTTATGCTGTCACTTTTATTTGCTTTGAATCTTGTATTATGCTGTCACTTTATTTGCTTTAAATCAGATGTTTATGCTGTCACTTTATTTGCTTTAAATCAAATGTTTATGCTGTCACTTTATTTGCTTTGAATCAAATGTATATGCTGTCACTTTATTTGCTTTAAATCAAATGTTTATGCTGTCACTTTATTTGCTTTGAATCAAATGTATTTGCTGCTGTCACTTTATTTGCTTTGAATCAAATGTTTATGCTGTCACTTTATTTGCTTTGAATCAAATGTTATGCTGTCACTTTATTTGCTTAATCAAATGTTATGCTTGTCACTTTATTTGCTTTTTAAATGTATTTGCTGTCACTTTATTTGCTTTAAATCAAATGTATTTGCTGTCCTTATTTGCTTTGAATCTTGCTGTCACTTTATTTGCTTTGAATCAAATGTTTATGCTGTCACTTTATTTGGCTTTGAATCAAATGTTTATGCTGTCACTTTATTTGCTTTGAACAAATGTTTATGCTGTCACTTTATTGCTTTGAATCAAATGTTTATGCTGTCACTTTTATTTGCTTTAAATCGCTGTCACTTATTTGCCCTGTCACTTATTTGCTTTAAATAAATGTTTTGCTGCTTTATTTGCTTTGAATCAAATGTATTTGCTGAATTTGCTTTATTGTATTTGCTGTACTCAATGTTTTGCTGTCACTTTTTTGCTTTAATCAAATGTATTTGCTGTCACTTTATTGCTTTGAATCAATGTATATTGCTGTCATTTATTTGCTTTGAATCAAAATGTTTTATGCTGTCACTTTATTTTGCTTTAATCGAATGTATTTGCTGTCACTTTATTTGCTTTGAATCAAATGTATATGCTGTCATTTGCTTTATTTGCTTTGAATCAATTCAAATTATGCTGTCACTTTATTTGCTTTGAATCAATATGCTGTCACTTTATTGCTTTTGAATCATTTGCTGTCACTTTATTTGCTTTGAATCGAATGTTTATGCTGTCACTTTATTTGCTTTGAATCATGTTATGCTGTCACTTTATTTGCTTTAATCAAATGTATATGCTGTCACTTTATTTGCTTTGAATCAATGTTTATGCTGTCACTTTATTTGCTTTGAATCGAATGTTTATGCTGTCACTTTATTTGCTTTAAATCAAATGTATATGCTGTCACTTTATTTGCTTTAAATCAAATGTATTTGCTGTCACTTTATTTGCTTTGAATCGAATGTTTATGCTGTCACTTTATTTGCTTTAAATCAAATGTTTATGCTGTCACTTTATTTGCTTTGAATCAAATGTTTATGCTGTCACTTTATTTGCTTTGAATCGAATGTTTTGCTGTCACTTTATTTGCTTTGAATCAATGTATATGCTGTCACTTTATTTGCTTTGAATCAATGTATTTGCTGTCACTTTATTTGCTTTGAATCGAATGTTTATGCTGTCCTTTATTTGCTTTGAATCAAATGTTATGCTGTCACTTTATTTGCTTTAATCTGCTGTCACTTTTATTGCTTTAAATCAATGTTTATGCTGTCACTTTATTTGCTTTAAATCAAATGTTTATGCTGTCACTTTATTTGCTTTGAATCAAATGTATATGCTGTCACTTTATTTGCTTTGAATCGAATGTTTATGCTGTCACTTTATTTGCTTTGAATCAAATGTATATGCTGTCACTTTATTTGCTTTAAATCAATGTATTTGCTGTCACTTTATTTGCTTTGAATCGAATGTTTATGCTGTCACTTTATTTGCTTTGAATCAAATGTTTATGCTGTCACTTTATTTGCTTTGAATCAAAATGTTTTATGCTGCTGTCACTTTTATTTGCTTTGAATCGAATGTTTATGCTGTCACTTTTATTTGCTTTGAATCAAATGTTTATGCTGTCACTTTATTTGCTTTGAATCAAAATGTATATGCTGTCACTTTATTTGCTTTGAATCAAATGTTATGCTGTCACTTTATTTGCTTTTTGAATCAAATGTTTATGCTGTCACTTTATTTGCTTTGAATCAAATGTTTGCTGTCAATTTGCTTGAATCGAATGTTTATGCTGTCACTTTATTTTGCTTTGGAATGTTATGTCACTTTATTTGCTTTGAATCAAATGTATTTGCTGTCACTTATTTGCTTTGAATCAAATGTATATGCTGTCACTTTATTTGCTTTGAATCAAATGTTTATGCTGTCACTTTATTTGCTTTGAATCAAATGTTTATGCTGTCACTTTATTTGCTTTGAATCGAATGTTTATGCTGTCACTTTATTTGCTTTTGAATCAATGTTATGCTGTCACTTTATTTGCTTTGAATCAAATGTATATGCTGTCACTTTATTTGCTTTGAATCAATGTTTATGCTGTCACTTTATTTGCTTTGATCAAATGTTTATGCTGTCACTTTATTTTGCTTTAAATCAATGTTTATGCTGTCACTTTATTTGCTTTGAATCAAATGTTTATGCTGTCACTTTATTTGCTTTGAATCAAATGTATTTGCTGTCACTTTATTTGCTTTGAATCAAATGTTTATGCTGTCACTTTATTTGCTTTGAATCGAATGTTTATGCTGTCACTTTATTTGCTTTGAATCAAATGTATATGCTGTCACTTTATTTGCTTTAAATCGAATGTTTATGCTGTCACTTTATTTGCTTTTAATCGAATGTTTATGCTGTCACTTTATTGAATCTGCTGTCACTTTATTTGCTTTGAATCAAATGTTTATGCTGTCACTTTATTTGCTTTAAATCGAATGTTTATGCTGTCACTTTATTTGCTTTAAGTCAAATGTATATGCTGTCACTTTATTTGCTTTCAATCTTTATGCTGTCACTTTATTTGCTTTAAATCGAATGTTTATGCTGTCACTTTATTTGCTTTAAATCAAATGTTTATGCTGTCACTTTATTTGCTTTGAATCGAATGTTTATGCTGTCACTTTATTTGCTTTGAATCAAATGTATATGCTGTCATTTGCTTTCAATCAATGTTTATGCTGTCACTTTATTTGCTTTCAATCGAATGTTTATGCTGTCACTTTATTTGCTTTAAATCAAATGTTTATGCTGTCACTTTATTTGCTTTGAATCGAATGTTTATGCTGTCACTTTATTTGCTTTGAATCAAATGTATATGCTACTTTTTGCTTTCAATCAAATGTTTATGCTGTCACTTTATTTGCTTTCAATCGAATGTTTATGCTGTCACTTTATTTGCTTTAAATCAAATGTTTATGCTGTCACTTTATTTGCTTTGAATCAAATGTATTCAAATCTCGCTTCTTTTGTTAATCCTCCAAGAGACACCTTATGTCTTTATACCAGAAGGAACAAAGCTCCTTAAGATTTAAGTCGCATATCTCACTTCCTATTAAGTTACTTGTGATGACGTGACTATCAGGATGACGTGACTATCAGCAAGGTTTGTAGCGATTATGATTGGCTGTATTTTATTATTCGTGTGAGTCAGTCACGTGGTTCCAGCTTGGTATATCATCACCTATTTTAATCTTATGTTTTGTGAAGTTTTAATAATAATTTTGGAAAGAAAAAGAAAAAGAAACATATAGATATATAAATGTGTGTAAGTGTGTGCGTGCATGTGTGTGTGTGTGCGCGCGTATGTGTGTGTGTGTGTGCGTACATGTGTGTGTACGTGTACATGTGTGTGTGCGCGTACATGCGCGCGTACATGTGTGTGTGTGTGCGCGTACATGTGTGTGTGTGTGTACGCGTACATGTGTGTGTGTGTGTGTGTATGTGTGCGCGTACATGTGTGTGTGTGTGCGCGTACATGTGTGTGCGTGTGCGCGTAATGTATGTGTGTGTGTGGTGTATGTGTGCGCGTACATGTGTGTTGTGTGTGCGTACATGCATGTGTGTGTGTGTGCGCGTACATGTGTGTGTGTGTGTGCGCGTACATGTGTGTGTGTGTGTGTGCGTACATGTGTGTGTGTGTTGTGCGTACATGTGTGTGTGTGTGTGTGTGCGTACATGTGTGTATGTGTGTGTGCGCGTACATGTGTGTGTGTGTGTGTGTGTGTGTGTGTGCGCGTACATGTGTGTGTGTGTGCGCGTACATGTGTGTTGTGTGTGTGTGTGTGTGTGCGTACATGTGTGTGTGTGCGTACATGTGTGTGTGTGTGTGCGTACATGTGTGTGTGTGTGCGCGTACATGTGTGTGTGTGTGTGTGTGTGCGTACATGTGTGTGTATGTGTGTGTGCGCGTACATGTGTGTGTGTGTGTGCGTACATGTGTGTGTGTACATGTGTGTGTGTGCGCGTGTGTGTGTGTGTGTGTGTGCGCGTACATGTGTGTGTGTGTGCGCGTACATGTGTGTGTGTGTGTGCGTACATGTGTGTGTGTGTGCGTACATGTGTGTGTGTGTGTGTGTGCGTACATGTGTGTGTGTATGTGTGTGTGTGCGCGTACATGTGTGTGTGTGCGCGCGTACATGTGTGTGTGTAATCCAGGTCACAGACAATAAATTAGCAACAAACTAGACAACTCTTGCCAAAAATACCAATCTGCATATGGCTGGTTTGGCAGATATTCCACATGACGCTAAAACTTTAATCCTATAGATCTTATCACTTGATTTTCTCTAACATAAACCAGATTGAAACGTTTTTTACCTCAACATATACTCTACATAATTACTCTCTATCACCCACTATTGATTTATTGGTTTAACATAAAAAGTATTGAATTGTTCCAGTCTATTTCCATTCTTATGTTACTTGACCAATATCATTCTTATAGTCGGTAAGTCAAGTATTTTAGCCAGGTATTTAGTGGCTTCTTTACCCTTCAAAATAAAGGCCTTAGACAAGCCAGCAAGACAGTACCTAGTCGGGTGTTATTCGAGTATTTCAAGTTCTTAAAGGTTATCGTATCTTTCAAGGTACATGTGAACTAAAGAAGAAAAATACATAATCAAATAAATGGTTAAAAAGCAGTATTGTAGACAATACAAAGAAAAAGGAGAAAGAGAGAGAGAGAGAGAGAGAGAGAGAGAGAGAGAGAGAGAGAGAGAGAGAGAGAGAGAGAGAGAGAGAGAGAGAGAGAGAGAGAGAGAGAGAGAGAGAGAGAGAGAGAGAAGGAGGAGAGAGAGAGAGAGAGAGAAGAGAGAGAGAAAGAGATACAGAGAGAGAGAGAGAGAGAGAGAGAGAGAGAGAGAGAGAGAGAGAGAGAGAGAGAGAGAGAGAGAGAGAGAGAGAGAGAGAGAGAGAGAGAGAGATTTCAAGGAGAGAGAAATTTCAAGGTTTTAGAGGTTATCGTATCTTATAAATCACTCGTTAACAGGATAATTGCAGTTTGCGTCTTCTCTGACGGTGGGTGTTGCAGCGGTGACGGCAGCACATTTAGCAGCAGTCTGGTTCTTCATCATTATTATTTATTATTTATTCATTATCTGAGGCTGGGTGAAAACGGCCGATTATTAGATTTAAACTTGAAATAAAAATATCAATAAAGTATATCACTGACATGAACGAAATGGCATTGGTTTTAAACAATTGTTCACTATAACAGAGATCCAAGTTCAACAATGATAAAACTGGTGATTTAGACCAATTCTTATAAATTGTAAAACTGCAAATTATTATTATTATCATTATTTTCATAGTGAAACTTTTTATCCCGTTTCAGTATGCATGACAGACATATTGGCTATCAATCTGTGAAGAATAACTAAGGTCATAGGCCACGATAGCAATGATGACAAGAACCAACAATATTTAGATTATTTTTTCCCCCAATGACATTCATCAAAGCGTCAACCTTTAATACGTGAAATCAGGTTGGTTTATCAGCAGGATGGATGTTATGTATTATCATTAAATCCATTTACAGTTATCTATACAACCTATAACATTCTTACATGTACAAAGTTTCTTTAAAGTAAGATGTAAAGGCGATGTATGATTGTCTGAGAAATCACAATATTGCAATAATCATCATGAACAGTAATCATGAATTTGCAACAACTCTGTCACGGATATAGATCTGAACATGAACTTTGCACTCAGAATCCGAACAAGCGAAGTTCTCTTTCAGGCAAATAATAAACTGAATTGAGCTTACGTAACGCTGCATTACAAACATAACCTGAATAATATAAATAAAATAATAATAATAATAATAATAATAACGAATAATAATAATAATAATAATAATAATAATAAAAAAACAATGAATAATAATAATAACGCTGCAGCATTACAAACATGTCCCCAATAACATAGTAATTGCTGTTATATGTAGGAGTTCTGATTTTTATGCCTATATTTGAATGAAGAAAAATATATGAATAATTATGTATTGCTTTTATTGCGATTTATCTTTTAATGATGAAAACAATATTCTATAAACTTTCTCACTTTCTGAAAATGTATATTTCTAATGTATTACCCAAAAATATATGTTTTGGCTTTTACCTGGGTTTCTATCACATACTTCAAACTCTTCCAGTTCTGTGCTTCTTTTTTATAAGATAACTGAAGACATGTTCTCTTCTCTATTATTATTTTTTCATCAAACAATACTTATCATGGTGTAAAATGTTTACTAAATATTCTATCATCATAACAAAAGCGTACGTAACTAAAAACATATAAACCTACTTCCATGCACGAATCATTGCTTAACTTAGATCTTTAGATTTAGATTTAGATTTAGATTTAGAAAAATGGCGAGTTCACATCTTATAGTTTTCATTTAGTTCCACTAATATTTTCAGAATTGGAGTATCTTTCCATTTTTGACAGATTAGTCAAACTGATTCATATATATAGGTAACACACACAGGTAACCCATGAATATATATATATATATATATATATATATATATATATATATATATATATATATATATATATATATATATATATATATATATATATATATATATATACTCCACATGGATGTCCTCTACAAACCAAAAATGCCTTCAAACGAACGCGATATAAAATCAGCTGATTTACAAATGTAAACATGCAGACGACAGCGACCACTGACACCAGCACCACCATCAAGTGAACCGAAGAACAAAAATGAGACCAGTTAGGCTTTTCTCCTTATTTTTTTCTTTCTTTCTTTCCCGTCTTTTGACTTTCGCATGCAGGGCCATCTACCGGCAAATTTATCAGTTTGACAGTGTTTATCGTTCGTTCAAAGGGGAAGGCTTGTTTACAGTGCTACTGATATTTTCGTACTCTTATTCAGATAGAAACGAACTATTTATCAAATTTTTACAAACTCAGGAATAATATTAGATTCGGTAGAATACAAAACAATAGGAATAATATTAGATTCGGTAGAATACAAAACAATAAAAAGAAGAAGAAGAAAAAAAGACGTTAGTGTTTTAGTGTTGTTTGTTTACGGTGATTTTTATGTTTTTCGTATTTTTGTCCTGGTGGAAACGAACTGTGGGATGAATTTGTTGGATCTTAAGGATAATATTACATGGAGTGAAAAGAAGAAACCCTTGTGTTGGTTGCAGTAATTCCTCGGAGATTCGTCAACTACCCTCCAACCACAGGGTAAGTCCAATTTGCATCTTGAAATGTAACAGAATATCGAAAATGGTGAGAGTTGGTCAGGAAAAGGTCTTGGTAAATATGGTAATAAGGTCAGGAAAGTGCTTGGTTCATGTACCGATTTTTGGGGGTATTTTATGAAACAATGTTCGTATATTCGTGCAACTGAGTCGAATTTCGTGGGAAAAATTCTGGTTCGGAGTTTTGGTAATTTCAAATGTTCTTTTTCGTTTATAATACATATCGCTTTTTAAAATTATACTTATCACAGTCATTCTATCTTGCAATTATTATTCCTTTTAATTATCAACGCAGTTTATCTTAGAAAGAATTGCCATTTCAGGTACTGTTGAGTGCATTTTTTTTCTTTGATTATTATAGTATCATTACATTTTCCTGTAATTATATACCAAATTATTACGTGTTGCACAACTTTCAAATTGTCAACTTGCGAAGGTAAAGCTATATATGAAGTGTCTTATTTTCGGTCATTTTGTCAACTGCAGGCAAAGTATAACTTGTGCTACAGGAATGTGGGAAACTGAAACTCTACCTACATTTCTTGGCTCGGGGTTTTACAATTTTCTACTTTGTTTTTTTATCTAAAACCCTTGGCTTCTGGTTTTCGCTATTTTACATTTTTCCTTGTCGTCGGAAATACAATTCACGGCTCGTTTATTTGTTTTTATTTTTATTTTATTTATTTTTTTAGTTTACCCTCTTTTTTAATGATTTTCCTTCGTCCTTTAGCCTCAACCTCTGAATTACCAACGGCGTTCCCCAGGGTTATCATCTCTTACCCTTTTTCTTATTTATTCATTTATTACTTATTCATTTTTTAACATTTCTAGAGAGAGAATTCGTGTCC